AGTTTGTGATGGTCCCCTGCTTATCTCTACCCAGGGACTGTGGGGGTGGGTGAGGTAAGGGGTGAACTGAAAAGCCTATCCTAGTCCCTCTGACCCTGTTGGCCCTTTTGCCCATGGTCTGCTCATTTATTCTAGAATTCCATTTTCAAATTCTGCTAGGATGATGTCTGCTAATTCCTAGTGCTGTTGCTGGCCTTAACCAGAAGCACACAAAATCCTCTTTTTCCCAGTGGTTCAGCATATCCTGACTTCAAATTTTACAAACACTTGGATGAGATTGTTCCATTCAAATCCACCTCCAATGGAGACGACCACAAAAGGCCCCAAAACCAGTAGTTAAAATGGAGTAAAACACTGGGACTGGAGGTGTTCGGGAACAAAAAACTTATTGTTTAATTTCTCTGAACTATGTGATTTTTTCCCTTTACCAAGTATACATATTCCTTTCTTTTTTTCTTTTTTCTTTTTATTTTTTAGTGATTTATGTCACTATTTATTTATTTATTTATTTTTGCGGGGAAGATTTGCCCTGAGCTAACATCTGTGCCCATCTTCCTCTATTTTGTATGTGGGATGCCTCCACAGCATGGCTTGATGAGCGGTGTGTAGGTCTGCGCCCGGGATCTGAAACCGTGAACCCTGGGACATCGAAACAGAGCGTGCAAACTTAACCACTACGCCACTGGGCCGGCCCCTATATATTCCTTTCATAAAAAAGAAGACAAAATAAATTCACTGTGAATTCTAGCCTGGAAATGAAGCACTTCCTTAAGATCAGGTTAGCATCAAAGCCCCTCTGGGTGGCTTTCTTCAGAGGCCAACAGCAGGGTCTTTCCTCTGGCTAGTAATGCTTGCCTTTCCTTGTACTTAACTTTAAGACCTTCTTCCCCTTTTCCATGCAGATTTCAGAAAAAAAGAAAAATAGGCATGCTGGAGGGCATCTCCCTGCTGGAAATGGACACTCACTGTAGAGCCACAGTGAGTGGTAAGAGCACAGTAAGTAGGGGTCAGGCAGATGAGACAAGGAAATCCTGACAAGCTATGTGTGGCTCAGCAAGACCTCAGAGAAGAGCATTCTTCACCGTGGCCCCAGCTGGCTCTTGCTTCTCTTTTATTTAAAACGGTAACAATCCTTAATACTTATTCAGCATTAGGCATTGTGCTCAACTCTTTACCTCCATGATCTCATGTAATTCTTGCAACATTCCTGTTGTTTGGGGACTAATAAACCCATTTCACAGATGAGGGAACTGAGGTTCAGAGAAGTGATGTTACTTGTTCAAGGTCATCTACCTAATGATGAAGATAAGATTCAAACCTGGGTTGACCTGACTCCAGAGCTGGAACCATTAACCACAATGCTATACTATTCTTTGCTTGGTATAACACTTTTCAGGTGTATATTGTAACATTATGAGATGTTCAACCAAGACATTTTGAAAATATTCAGATACTCAGTGCCTGTGTCAGTCAAGCATTTACTTGAAGTTTCAAAACTGTCATGTTTCATTTGTTTTATATGTTGAATAAAAGAATATTATATGTAAAATTTCACTCCTGGAATTCTGTTTGCATTCCAGGTTGGTACAGTTGTGTTTCTGCGTTGCCAAATTGAGCTTGGTTAACTCAATTTGAAGCTATTAAGTGTCCTGTTTTTAATAGTACTTGTTAAATAATTATACATCTATATCTCTGTCTATCCATCCATCATTTGGCTTCCAGTTCTTAGGTTACTTATTTTACCTCTACCAAAATATGATAACATTTATAAAATTAAAAACTAAATCACATGTGTCCAAAACCTATAAAAACTCTAGTATAAGTATAGAGAGTTAGACAGACAGGATGCCAAAATTATAAAAGCTAAACCTATGTATAATACAATATGATATGCTAAGGCAGCTGATACGTTCTCTTGCTATTGCACAGTTTATAATTGTGATGTGATGAGCAGCCTGTGTGAAGCAACTTGATGTGAACCTTGCTGGACATTCATTGGAGGGCAGCTTCCTGGGGCAGTGGGAGTGTGCTTACTTGAATAATTTCATGTGAGTGGTCCTAAACAGTTCCTGAATTTTTTTGAACAGTACAGAGCTACAACCTCCATAATTAGTTTATAAGAAGTTCGAATAATTGCTCCAAGATGGTAGGTTTCATTCCACATTGTTCACAAAGATGATTTAACCCGGCAGTTCAAATTAACATATTAGTGGTCTTTAATATAAGTTGTTTTTATTGCAGTTTTCAAATGAGTGAGGTCCATCTTTATGTGCTGACATGGAAATTCTCATGATATACTGCCTGGACAGAAGTTTCAAGACAGGGTGTATAAAATTCCATTTTTGTAAAAATCAGTCAAACAAAAAAATCTATATGTATCTATATAAAAAAGAATCCACTATACTACTTAGCATCTAGGGAGGTAAGTTGTAGAGTTGAGCTTTTCATTTATATTTTACACATTTCTGTGTTGTTGGATTTTTAAAGTATCACTTTTGAAAGAGGAAATTTATATATTTTTTTAAATAAAAATATTTCAAAGTATGTTCCCCAGGACATCTGACAGCCACAAGAAGTCTTGACCATCTAGGTCCACAAGGGGGTGCTGTTGGACTTTGGCTGAGTCACTTCACAGGTGCCTCAGTTTCCTCCACTGTAAAATGAACATAACACCTTACCTCACAAAGGGTGGGGAAGATGTCGCCTTGAGAGTTATTTGGTGTGTCCTGGGAGTCTGCTTTTAATTTTCCTAAATCTGAAGAGGTGTTGAGGGAAGATGAGACCAAGAATCCTTCTTCTAATTGATTGTGTTTATAAAAACAGAACAAAGAATTTAATGCTTAATTTCCTCCTTTGATCTAAGTCTCTTCTCACACTCATGATCAGAGTTCTGGAGTGGAAGGAAGCTTGGAAGTCAGTTTTCTTGGGTCACCCTCTCCTTAAAGAATCTGATGAAAGTTAGGCATCTTAATCCCAGAAAACTGTGCAGAAGGCTGAATTGTCAAGACAATTCCTGGGGATTTCCAGGCCTAGATTAAGAATCCTTCACTGATTTAATTCACTCACTTATTTTACCGAGGAGGAAAACATGGCCCAGAGAGATCAAGGCCACAGAACCCATAGGGAGGGCTCAACCCTGTTTTCTCACTCCTGGTTTTCCACGCATCTGCAACCAGCAGGGAGACAGGTACCAAAGCAGGTGGAAACAGCAGATGGTGCTTGTCCAGGGGAAGGGGACACGCTCTAAGCTGAGCTTCTGCATTGCAGCTACATCCCCACTCGAAGAGCCAGATTTATGTATGGGTTTAAAATTAGATGTGGTCTTTAAAAATTGGTAGCTACTTAACACTAAGAGTCAGAAAAGCTACTGTTCCATGATGGGTCTCGTGGGGCCACAAAAGTGACCTCATTTAATCCTCACAATGTCCCTAGATGGTTTAGTAGACACAACAGGGCCAGCCCAGATCCCCTTTGCTATTACACCCAGCGCCTGCCCAGCTGCTGTGAACTCGGCTGTTAATGGCTCACTGATTCCACTCTGCCCACCCCCCGACCTGCCCTTGGGATGGGAACCACCTACAATGCTGTGGGGTGGTTTATGCTCCAGAGCACCCCTGGGATCTGGCCAAGACTAGACGTTACCTGAAACCATATCCTTACTTGCCTCTCTCCCCCTCCATAGTCTGTTTCTCTCATGCCCTCACAGGCTTTTCCTGAAGAGCATGCCCCCAATAAATCACAGACCCCCAATCCCTTTTTCAGGCTCTGCTTCTAGGGAATCTTACCTAATACAAGTGGTAAGGGTCACTGATGTCATTTTGTAGTTTCCAGAAAGTGATGACTTATATGATAACAATACGTTGGTAGGATTCACTTTATAGAGTTACACTTGGGGCCTCAGAGATCATCTAGTTATTTTACAGAAAGGACATGTATGTGTGTATATGCATATATATATATTTTTATATGTGTTTTAATATATATTTACATATATATATTTATTCTCTTGCTTTTTCCACTTAGTATCATATCACAATTATTTTCCTTTACTTCTATCTTTAAAACATACTTGTAGAAAAGATGCATAATATTATAATCTATGAATGTAGCTTTTTAAAAAAACCTAATATAGTTGAGCGGGGAAATAGTTATTTACATATTTAAGTGAATCCTACCAACGTATTGTCATATAATTTATTATTATAAATTATAAAAAGGAATATCTTCATGTAAAGGTTTTTTTCTGTGTTCAGATTCTTTTCCTAGGGAAGAGTCTTAGAAATGGAGTTGTTGGGCCGCAGAGTATGATATGTATTGCAAATTTATTTTCAAAAAGATTTTACCAGTTTATACTCCAACCACAGTGCCATCTAGCAATTTGAACCCTCTTGCCAATATTGAGCATTACTGTTAAAAAAAAAAAACCCAAAAACAAAACTTTCACTTAAAATTAAAAGAACTTATTGCTCTGTTAACGTAATTTTCTTTATTTGTAGTAAGGTTGACATTTTTTAATATATTTATTAACCATTTGTGTATCCTGTTTTGGGAGTCCCCTTCCCCTTTTTAGGGCTTTAATAATGAATTTATACAGTTTTTGAAGGCCACTCTGGAAAAATATACTGGTTATGGACTTGGTTATTAAGCCTCTGATTTAGCGATATTTATCCTGTAATTTCTCCAGAGCAACTTTTCTACCTGCTCTGAGGCAAAATGTATGGAGGAATATTTGAGTCTGAAGAAATTCCATTAGTAATTAACACTCAACTAGATTTACCTCCCTCTCCAGAAGGAAGATGGAATGTCTCAAAGAGAGGATTTCTCAACATAAAATGCAATGAGATAATTTAACAAAATATTTTAAGTGGAATGGAGGCAGAAATGAAAACAGCCTGATGGAGCCAGAAAATGTCTACACGTTTATGAAGAAACACAAAGCAGGCAGACGACATCGTTCAAAATGCAAGGATTGGGGCCTAAATCCATGTCCCTCGAAGATACAAACACAAATGTCCCTAAATGTTAGGTCTGTCTTATGATTTCAACTTGTGGTTTTGAAAACGTTTCTTACATGGCTGTTTCCTTATTTCAGAAGTGAGGTGACATTAAGAAATACCAAGTTGAATAGACAATCAACACTGAAAGTCAAGTAAGTGTTTCAGCCTCCTTCTCCTTAATGTAGTGTTATCAATTATCTATTTTCGTGGTAAAAATTTTAAGTGCTGACAAATTTTCAAGAGACAAGACTAAATTCTGTACTGAAATTCTTCAAGCTTGAATTCTAGCCAGAGGTGAACTTTGTTTTGGAAAATCTGAGAAAATAAGCTTAATTAATTCTGAGGAGTGGAAAGAAGGATCTGAAATACCCTTCGCTTCTCCAGACATATTATTTAACCTAGCACATTCCTCACAGCAGCTGCTCCAAATCTTCTCCTCTTTCTCTAAACCCTCCTAAGCCGTGTGGAGAAGTCAGAGGCTGGGTGACCTTCCTCATTCTAGTTCCTCCTCATCTCCAAACTCTCCATGTCTACTCCCACCCCATTATAAGTTCTCCTAGGGCACTCAGCTTTCGTGCCTTTGTGTTCCCTTCTCCTAGCACAAAGCGGAGTGCCTTGTTCATAGGCATGGTTCAATAATTAAGATTTTTTAAATGACTGATTGGGGTAAAGTCAACTTTTTTTTTAAGTTGACGTATAACATTATATTAGTTTCAAGCATACAACATAATGATTCAATATTTGTATATATTTCAAAATGATCACCACAATAAGTCTAGTTAACATCCGTCACCACACAGTTACAAATTTTTTTTCTTGTGATGAGAACTTTTAAGATCTACTCTCTTAGCAACTTTCAAATATACAATAGTCACCATGCTGTACATTACATCCCCAGGACTTATTTATTTTATAACTGGAAGTTTGCACCTTTTGACCCCCTTCACCCATTTTGCCCATGCCCTACTTTCCACCTCTGGCAACAACCAATTTGTTCTCTGTATCCATGAGTTCAGTTTAAAAAAAATTTTTTTTAGTTTCCACATATAAGTGAGATCATATGGTATGTGTCTTTTTCTCTGTCTGACTTATTTCACTTAGCATGATGCCCTCAAGGTCCATCCATGTTGTCACAAATGGCAAGATTTCCTTCTTTTCTATGGAATATTCATATATATATATTTGTATATATATACCACAAATTCTTTATCCATTCATCCATCGATGGACATTTAGGTTGCTTTCATGTCTTGGTTATTGTAAATAATGCTGCAATGAACATGGGAGTGCAGATATCTTTTCGAGTTAGTATTTTTGTTTCCTTTGGATAAATACCCAGAAGTGGAATTGCTAGATTATATGGTAGTTCTATTTTTAATTTTTTGAGGAACATCCATACTGTTTTTCATAGTGGCTGCTCCAATTTACATTCCCACCAAGAGTGCACAAGTGTTCCATTTTGGTCCGCATCCTTGCCAACACTTGTTATTTCTTGTCTTTGTGATAATGGCCATTCTAACAGGAGTGAGGTGATATCTTATTGTGGTTTTGATTTATATTTCTCTGATGGTTAATGATGTCAAGCACCTCTTCATGTACCTGTTGGTCATCTGTGTGTCTTTGGAAAAATGTCTATTTGGATCATCTGCCCATTTTTTAATGGGATTGTTTGTTTTTTTGCTGTTGAGTTGTGTGAGTTCTTTATATATTTTGGATATTAACTCTTTATCAGATATGTGATTTGCAAATATTTTCTTCCATTCCATGGATGACTTTTCATTTTGTTGATGGTTTCCTTTGCTGTGCAGAGCTTTTTACTTTGATTTGTCCCACTTATTTATTTTTGCTTTTGTTGCCTTTGCTTTTGGTGTCAAGTCCAAAAAAATTGTAGCCAAGACTGATGTCAAGATGCTTATCGCCCATGTTTTCTTCCAGGAGTTTTATGGTCTTAGGTTCAAGTCTTTAATCCATTTTGAGTTAATTTTTGTGTATGGTGTAAGACAGTGGTCAAGTTTCATTCTTTTGCCTGCGGAGATCCAATTTTCCCAACACGGTTTATTGAAGAGACTGTCCTTTCCTCATTGTATATTCTTTGCTCCTTTGTCATAAGTTAATTGACCATATATGTGTGGGTTTATTTCTGGGAGGTAAAGTCAACATTAAATAACATCGACTCCAGATTTTATCTTTGGTCAGACTTTGACTAGAGCCCGTTACATTAGAATAATGAACTGAGAAAGGGCACGGCAGAGTGCTTCACACAGGGCTAGGTTTGAATCTGGTTCTACCTTTCGCTAACTGGGTGATCTTGGACAAGTTGTTTAACCACTCAACCTCCCAGCTCCCTTCAGTATTTAAGCGTTTGTCAGATACTGCATCTCTGAAATGAGGATAATAAAAACTCCTGCCTCATAGAGCTTTTGGGAGGATTAAATCAGATAAGGGACTTGGCGCAGCCTGTGCCGCTTAGCAAAGCCTCAAAATGAATATAATACGTAGTGTCACACAGAATCAATATCAAACCTCTGAGTAATTTGCCAGCTTTGTAAACTGTTTTCCTAATCTCTTTATGTCATATGCAGGTGAACTTCAGTTAAAAAAAGGAAAGTGAGTGTTGAGGAGAGCTAGTGGGAATTGTTTCTTGGCCCCTGCTTCCAGATTTTAGAACTTGTGTCTGTCTCTGGTACCAAGAAAATCTGCCCCTTCCCCATTTCGTGGGTGGAGGACAGAACAAATGGCTTCTGCTTTGCTTTCCCGTGGAGCACTAGGTCACGTCTCCCTCTGTTTCCAGTAGAACCTAGCTCCGTGCTGAATAGGATGGGAGCATTTAATGTCTGTGAAATGGAATTGCTTGAATTCTCAGGCTGCTTCTCATGAATGAACTCTAGTCAAGTTGTTTTCCTCTCAACTTGTCTGCTCGTATGTCAGAAATCATTTTTATTTTGCAAAGTCTAAAGCTTTTCCTCTGACATTCCTATCAGAACATAATCACCAAGATTTCAAGGCAGAATAATTAATATACAGGGATTGTTCATTAACTTATGCAGCAAACATTGTAGTTGTCTATTGTGTTTTCTTAAAAAGAAGAGCACATGTTTAGATATAGAAGAGCTTGTTTGCTCCCTCCCCCCCATAAGCTTTAAACACTCACTAATGAGGTCACCTTTTTGTGTTTTTCTAAAGTAACGTCTGACTATAGCGACATCTACTGGTAAAAATGAGCTGTAAACCAAGGAGAGTGTATAGTCCCAAAGGGATTTTGACAATTCTTTTTTCCCTGAAGTGTAGTCCAGGCAGACCTCCAAATCAACGTTCTTTGATAATGCGAACTCCTAAACCACTTCATTAAAATCACTTTCATGTAAATGATTTCTGAATCTTAAAATCTTTTGTGTTTGAAATCCTAATGCTATCTTTGCTGAAAAATCATAGACCAAGCCTGCTGGGCAGCCTTTTGAAAGGACCATACAGGAGAAAGTACACAGAACCTTAGAAAAATATAGCATTAAAGTAACTCACATGGAATTGAAAGACTGGGAGCCATGGCTAACATAACATTGCCATTAACCGATGGATTCTAGGGCATTCCAGCTCACAGATGACTTATTATTTAAAAGTTAATTTACGTGCCGCCTTAGAATTTTGTCCTACATATAATGTCATATCCATTGGTTAAATTCTTAAGGTATCCATCAATAGTTCATTTTACACACGTAATTGAAATTCTGTGCATTTGCAAAAAAGGGAAAAAAAGGAGAGGGAAATAAGAAATAATGCTTTTACAGTATTAGTAAATAATTAGGATGTTTAAAAACTGAAAAATAAAGTTTTTAAATAATGGATTTTTTATTACCTTGAATTCTGCAGGGAGAAATGACTGTACAGTTGTCTAATAAATGGTTGCTACGTTGCAAAATGTTAACTACCTCTCGTAGTGCTTCTGAGCTGTATCAGTAAGGATACCTTTGGCTAGATGTCCTCATGGTTGCAAGAGGCTGCAGTGGCTCCAAGCGTCACCTCCTTACAAAGCAGAAAAGGTTCTTATCAGAAGCCTGATTGTGAGAACAAGGATATCTTTCCCAGAGGTGTTGCCTGTAGACTTCCCTCATCATCTCATCAACCAGAATTGCTTTCTTTGCAGCTTTCTCTGTCAATTGCTGGCAAGTGGATTAGAATCATCATGGGAATTAAAATTCACTCCCACCTTAGCCCCTCTCCTGAGGTTGCATTGGGGTCACCTTCCCTGAGCAACTAAACAAAACTGGGGATATTCAAACAAGGAAAAGGGAGGTGGATGGATTTGGGGTCTACTATGATTGGGGAGTGAATGGGAGAGGAAGAAAATAAGACAGGAGTGTGTTATTCTTTCTAGAAATCTAGGTTTGATGGGAAGAACTAGCAAAAGAGAAAGGTTGGAATTAGAGAAGGGCTTGTTTGCTCTTGTTTGGCTTGAAGATAGGAGAGACGCAAACATATTTATATGTAGAAGAAGGGCCAGTAGAAGTGGGGAGTTTGGGAATTAGAAAAACAATTTCCTAGAGCATATGAGAATGGATAGAATCTCCAGCCAGGTACCAGACTTTGGGATTTTGAAGATCAAATTCCAAAAAGTGAGTGAGTCCATCAGAGAGTTGCCAACTTTTTATTTCCTCAATTAGAAGCATTTTTAAAAAGTCAACAATCCTTTCATTAAAATTACTTTCTTGGTAGCAGTTTCTGATTTTTAAACATTTTTCTTGTTGATTTTGGAACTGTCTAGATTGTTTTTTTGGCTTTTGGGAAAATTGGTAAAATTTGAATAAGGTTAGTATATTAGATATTAGCATTATATTGATGTCAATTTCTTGATTTTGCAAATTTTATTGTAGTTATTGACAGAATATCCTTTTAAAGGAAATATATACTGAAAGATTTTAGGAGTTGTGATGGTTAATTTTATGTGTCAACTTGGCTAGTCTATGATACCCATTTGTTCGGTCAAACATCCACCTAGTTGTTGGTGTGAAAGTACTTTTAAGATGTGATTTCCACTTAAATAAGTAGACTTTGAGTAAGTCAGATTATACTCCATAATGTGGATGGGCCTCATCCATTCAGTTGAAGGCCTTAAGAACAAAGACTTAGGTTACCAAGAGAAGAAGGGATTCTCCTCAAGACTGCAACATAGAAAGCCTGCCTGAATTTCTAGTCTGTTACCTTGTGGAATTCAGACTCAAGACTGAAACATCAACTTTTACCTGAATTTCCAGCCTGCCAGGCTGCCCTACAGATTTCAGACTTGCCAGCCCCCACAACTGCATGAGCCAATTCCTTAAAATAAATCTCTCTCTTTCTTTCTTAAGATGTGTGTATATATATCTCCTATTGGTTTGTTTCTCTGGAGAACCCTTAATAATACAAGGGGTAAATGGCATCATGTCTGCAACTTACTCTCAAATGTTCATTCTTGGGGAATCTGGGTGAAAGGTATTGGGAATTATTTGTACAACTCTTGCAACTGTAATTCTGAAATTAAGTCAAAGTAAAAAGATAACAGAAAAACCAAGCATTTTTGAAAACCAGTTTGGAACATGGCTTTTCTCTTGTACCCAAGCATGTGAACTTGGCTGAGTTCCCAAGGTAGCTGACAAGGAAGTATTTAACACTTAATGTAGCTGAAATACTGAGCCCACCGAAGGTGATTACCATAGGAAGAAGGCAATACTGTAGTAATAATGATTCAACCAGAAGGGAAAACATTACAGTTGAATAATAGATTTTAATTAATTTTTCTTTTGGTGGAGAAACTGTTGCACAGTTGTTTAATATTTGATTGCCGGTGTGAAAAATTGGGAGAAAAAAACAGTTGGGGAGTTGAGGAAAGAGTGGTAAAGAAGAAAACAGGTGCTCAGGTGTACCAAGAGAGGAAGGGAGGGGAATTCAAGGAAAGTTTCACTTAATTTGGTTTAATCAGAACAAATTCGAGCATATTTATGTGCTGAGGGGATGGAGCTAGGGAAGAGGGAGTAGTTGAAATTATACCAGAGGGAAGCAAACTCCAATACATATGAGAAAGGATGGAATCTGAAGCAGTGGTTTTTTGATTTTATATGCCACTAAAATTTTTTAAAAATAATAAAACTGGGGGCTGGCCCGGTGGTGCAACAGGTTGGGTGCGTGCGCTCTGCTGTGGTGGCCCGGGGTTCGCAGGTTCGGATCCGAGGCGCGCACCGATGCACCGCTTGGCAAGCCATGCTGTGGTGGTGTCCCATATAAAGTAGAGGAAGATGGGCATGGATGTCAGGCCAGGGCCAGTCTTCCTCGGCAAAAAGAGGAGGATTAGCAGATGTTAGCTGAGGGCCGTTCTTCCTCACACACACAAAAAGATAATAATAAAACTGGAGGACCAATATAAGGTTGTCAGCTTCTGTATTAGCCAAATGAAGACATTGAAAAAAAAAAAAAAAGACAGGGAAAGCCATCTAAACAATGGCTATCCACTATTACCATCATTTCATAAATAAGAGGTATTTAAATTTTAAATATAGAAAAGGCATAGTGTAAACATTTAATAAACTTAGCATGAGTTCTCATTCCATAGAGGAGAGTTTATATGGACTCAAGCTGTTGGTGCTAGTCCTAGCTGAGCACGGGTAAGCAGCTGTGTCTGCGCTGGTAACCCGATCAGAGGTGGCCTGAATGGAGTGTTCTAACGGCACACCTTGGTTGGTTGCACATCCTTGTCTCCTCCATTGTGACCTTAGCTTTTCCTTTGACTTGCTTTCCATAGGCCATCCAGGTAACCCCTGACCACAGAGTCTGATTCCTCTTCCTCCCAAGGGCAACCTTCCAGATGGGACCTCTGGCATCCACTTCCCCTTGCTTTATTGAAATTGCATGTTTATCTGCCAAGGTTATGATTATTTTTATATCATCACCCCTGCCCTTTGTTAATGTTCAAACTCACTTATCTCTTTCCAGTTAGTGTAGCTTTCCTTCTGTTTCACCTTGTTCATTCCCTCACCATTGCTTTTTGTAGAAGTTTTTTGGGTGGGGAAATGTATTGACATCTTGTTTCTGCTTCTCTGATTCACATAGTAGGTGCCTCTTGCCTTCACAGGGAATGGGTGGTTGGGTCGCACATCTTACTGGTGGTATTAGTGATGTTCCCTGAGCTTTGTTTAGGCCTTCCCTGCTTTCTGAGCTTTGGGGTGAAGTCCAGAGCAATTCACCTCTTAATATCTGTAAATGGGAAGCATGAGATAAATTAGAAAGTGCTTGGGTCAAACAGATCCATGCGTGACCTGCACTGTCCTCTGTCCTTTGCTGGCTATGTAACTTTACATAAGTCTCTTAAACTCTCTAAGTCTTATCTTTTTCAGTGGTGAAATAGAGAAAAGAACATCAATCTCACAGGTTATTTCAAGGATCAAATGAGAGAAATGTGTAAGGAGCTTTGATGTGTCCTGGTGCATGGCTGGGCTCTAGAAATGGTGGCTTTTATCGTACTCCCTCCTTTCCTTCGAGCACTTTCTAGAACTGGGCTGTCCAACATCATAACCACTAGCTATATGTGGCCAGTGAGTGCCTGAAATGTGGCTGGTCTCAGTTGAGATGAGCTGTAACAATAAAATATACACCACACTTTGAAGGCTTAGTATGGCAAAAAGAATGTACAATAGCTCACTAACAATTTTTTATATTGATTACATGTTGAAATGATAATATTTTGGATATATTGGGTTGAATAAATGATATTATTAAAATTAATTTCACCTATTTATTTTTACATTGTTTTGTAAATTCACCAGAAAATTCAAAATTATGTATTGTTCTAGTCAGCTTGAAACTGAACACAAAGAAGTTAAAAAAATATTCCCTAGAGCAAAAAACTTTGAGATAAGCTTTGCTAACTGCAGCTGTGCATATTCAGCATAATCAACTGTTTAAAACTAACCTGGTCTTTCTGTCTCTCCTAGTATACGAGTGAGCTGTCTTTCCCAGGAAGTCAAGGTCCAGACATCAAGATTCAGCCTCAGAAGGCCAAACTCAGGCTGAAGATGAAAACTAACCAGAAAAGTCCAGACAGTCAAGGGAAAAGAAATTCAGTCTTCAAGGCCAAACACAGGCTGATGGGAAGGCGCCAACCAGCATGGCCACATGCTCCTCCTCCTCTATCTAGAACCCCAGCACATGCTCTCCCTCCCCTACCTAAAACCCCAGATAAAAATCCCTCCCTTTTTCCCTGTTAGGAAGTGGATCTGAGTTTTAAGTCCCATCTCCTTGTCTGGCTGCCTTTCAAAAATAGTAAACCTCTTTCCTTGCCACAAGCCTGGTGTTTCAGTTTTTTTCTTTATTGGCCCTACTGTGCAGCGGGTAAATGAACCTGTGTTTGTATTTGGTAACAATTTGGTGAGCCAACCAGGAGGCTCTTTGCCTATGGTTCTGTGGCCCTGGGCCAACTGGGATTTCCTGGGAAGCAGTCCAGCAGCTGCCTAGGTGATTTGCCCTAGGGACTGTCCCCAGTACTTTCCATCTGACCCGGCACCACTGACCCTAGGCTCATTTTTCTTGTGGTGTGGAAATAGGCTCTAGATTTGTTTGTTTGTTTGTTTGTTTTGACTTCTGGTTTGGAACAGACGTCCTTTTGGGGAGTTTCCTCATTAAAACTGACTGAGTCCTATTTTTCCTTTCATTGTTTGCCTCTGCTTCAGGGGTTCTGTTCCAGGTTACTGGAGATGGTTTGAGGGGCTCTGATTTTGTTGAAAGGACTAGGGATCTCGCTGAGAGAAAAAACTCTGGGCTCCATTTGTCTTGGTTGAGTTGCCTCGTTAAAACTGACCGAGTCTTATTTTTCCTTTCATTTGTTTGCCTCTGCTTCAGGGGTTTCTAGGTTGCTGGAGTTTGGTCAGGGGGGCTCTGATTTTGTTGAAAGGACTAGAGGTCTCACTCAGAGAGGACTAACTCTGAGCTCCGTTTGTTTTGATACTTGTGTGTGTGTGTGTGTATGTATGTGAATGTGTAGTTTGTTTGCCTCTGTTTCAGGGTTTTTTTCTAGGTTACTGGAGTTTGTTTCAGGGGAACCCCAATTTGTTGAAAGGACTAACTCTTGCTCCCATCTGTTTTGATACTTGTGTGGAAATGTGTGAGTGTGTATAATGTGTGTGTGTGGGCAGCAGCATAATGGGAAACTTGGATTCGATTCCCAGTAGGAGCCATCTGGGTTATGTATTGCTAAATTGGGATGTTTTCAGTTATAAACCTATGAAAAAGAAAAAGATGAAACTTAATCAAATTTGGGGTCTCAGCTTCCTCTCATGGTCTTACTAATGAAAATGAAAATGAAAACAAGTTAACAAAAGAGTAAAAAGAAGCTGAGAGGGGCTGGCCCGGTGGCATAGTGGTTAAGTTTGTGCACTCTGCTTTGGTGGCCCGGGGTTCACGGGTTCAGATTCCAGATGTGGACTTATGCACCACTCATCAGGCCATGCTGTGGTGGAGTCCCACATACAAAATAGAGGAGGATTGCCACAGATGTTAGCTCAGGGACCATCTTCCTCAAGCAAAAAGAGGAAGATTGGCAACAGATGTTAGCTCAGGGCCAATTTTCCTCACCAAAAAAAAGAAAAAGAAGCTGAGAAAAAAATAAAGGGACTCTTCTCAACAAGGTGGAAATTTTTTTTAAGTTTTTTTTTAAAAAAGCTAAGGTAAATAAGACAAATATTAAAAGGGGGGAAATAAAGAGGAATCAGAAAGGGAGGAATCACAGGACTTGTCTCAGCAGGATGGAAATCTTTAGCTAGTTATTAAAAAGAAAAGTGGGATGAATAAAATGTACATAAATGAGGTTAAAACTAAGGTTTTAATAAAACATTACCTAAGGTTGGATGGGCTAAAGGGACCCTCGATTTGCCCCCCAACATTAAATGACCTCAAATAAGCCCATTCTATTCACTCCAGTTTGGGAAAAAAATTTAAAAGCCAGAAGGCAGAAGTCACAATGAGAAACCTAATAATTGTTTGGGGCAACAGTTAGGCCACTAAGGTTGATAAGACTATAAAGATTAAAAAGTATTGAGCTAATCTTACAAGAAGAGGTCATGTCAACTTTGCCTGAATGTTTTTTGGAAATGGATGTTATGTCTGTCTGGAAATGCTTCCCCTACACAATATTATAAGACTGAGACTTATTGATGAAATCCTAATGAAAGCTATGATTAGAGGTATGAGAGTTGATAAAACTAAGATAAAGTTTTATAAAAAATTGGTATATTTAAGTGGGCTCTGTGTTAAATGATTGCATCTTTTTTACATGGTTATATAGTAGATTATATTATGGGGGTAAACATTATGTCTCACTGGGGAACGTTTCCCCTGCCTGATATCATAAGAGCATATAAATCCACTCTTCAGGCAATGTTAATTAAACATGCTAAAGGAGATCTCACTTTAAAATGGCCAAAATGGGGCAATTTCAGTTTACCCAAACTGGTATATTTGCACATGCAATTGGAAAAAGCCAGCTATAAAATTAAACAACCAATGAGAAGCCTATTTTAATCTTTTGAGGCTTCTAAATAAAATCAGGAATACTTTACTGCTTCTTTAAAAGAAAATAATTAAATAATTAAACATGCCAGCAGCTGAACCCAAATCTGCTGCTCCTCTCTCCTCTCTTGCTGAGCTTCCCTACTTTAACTCCCCCCAAATTCCTGATCTAAAACTAAGCAAGTGGAAATAAGTAAACTTTTGAGATAATTTGGAATTTTAATGGCCATTTTGGGGAACCTCTGTTTCAGATGAGTCCACCTTAAGGTCTCCCTTAAAAGAGAGGATTCGAAACCTCTCATGATGAAATGCAATCTTTGATTAATATGCCAAAACTTCTACAAGACAAAATGATTACAAAAACAGCTCTAAAAAGGATCCTTAGAACAAAAAGAATCTTTAGTAAAAATCTTTGGCTATCTGAACAGGTCCATCTGCCAGAAAAACAGTTCAGACCCAACCGTTCTTTTGAGTTTTGTACCTGAGACCTGGTTAAAATTTTGAAGATCTCTGTTTGTGTCTATCTGTATGTGAGTCTTTCTATATATTTGTCTACCTCAAAATGGTACAATTTCTAAAGGATCTCTATTTAATTGGCTTGAAATAAGTGCTTATATAAATTATTTCTAAACATAATAGAAACTAACCCAAATGTCTTTCAAGTTAACATAATATAAAATTATCTTTGGTAAATAAAACCTTGTTTAAGTTTGTTAGTTTAATTAAAATAAATATGTTTTCAGAGTTATCAACATTGGATATTGTGCAAACATTATTTCTGTTACAAAATTTGTCAGCAAAAAAATAATAATTTAGAATAATAGCTGATTTTGTCTGATATCTCATGAGGGTTTTATAGGCAACCTAAATATAATTATTTGGAACAAGTAAAATAAATAGACATGAAAAGGATGAAAGTTTTTGGAAGAACTTTTTAACAATAATTATGTTAAACATATAAACATAAACGTAACATAAAACATATGTTTATGTTAAAACAACTCAAGATGATGGCTAATTGCTTTAATGGCACATGAAGTTTTTGTGGGTAATCTAAACATAATTGTTGAGAACAAATAATTTAGATGAGTAAAAATAGGTAAGAGGTTTTGGGTGCAATAATTGTGTTTTATGGTATCTATGCTTGAAAAATAGCTTCCAAAATCTTTTTGATAATTTGAAACTTTAGAGTTTTGCTAAATTAAGTTAAATGATAAAAATTTGTTGAGCATCTAGGTCATTTCCACAGAAGATAAAATATTAGAAATTGATTACTAAGCATAGATTTGTCTGTCTTTGTTTTCTTATCTCAAAGAAACTAAAAGATGCTTGAGTTTATTGATAAACATGTTTTGTGCATGCTGAAGAATTTTCTATGAGACAGCACGTATTTTTGGAAAGTCTGTATACAAGGAAAGTAGAATGTATGTTTTCAGTAAAGGAGGTATAAATAATAGAGATACTTTTGTTTGCTTTGTTAAGAAAGATAAATTTGTCCTAAAGTACTAGGAAAGAAAGAAAAGAGAAGAAGGCATGGGACAAATTCTGAATGTAAAAAGCAAGTGACAGAAGGTTTGGGGAAGTAAAACCCTGAGGAGTTTTGTGCATGGTCAAGTTGGCTGAGATTAAAATGAATGAGTTTCAATATCAAAAATACGCTGGTACAAAATTAGAATTTGGCTTTCTCTCTTAAAAAGAAAATTTGCTTTAACTTTTGGACTGCTCTTGATAAAGAGGTTATAAAAGGTTTTTCTTTACCTTTGAATAAGTCCATCTAAAAGACAGAAAATCTATGTTTTGTTAAAATAATTTCCTATGTTCAAAAGGACTGAGATATCTCTATTAAGGGTTTTTTTGACTGTTTTAACTCTCTGTTTGCCTTTGACATCTTCTATTGTCACCTTGATTGAATGGATAACTAAATATTATTTCCTATTTGACCAAGTGTTTTAAAACCTTTTGATATTTTTGACAAAATCCCCCTCAAACTTAAAGACTTTCTTTTGATTTAAAAAAGAAACTTTGAGAATTTCCAATCAGCCCTGAGACTTCTCAAAGAATTTGCTCTCTCTTTCTATAAAGAGGAAGACATTAAACTAGTTAGACTTATTTGGTATGTTAAATTACATTGGAAACCTTATCAAATAAATGGTAATAAGCCTTCCTATGTTATATTGTGTGGGTAAATGTTATTAATATAAGTGCTTTAAAAAATATATAATGTTCCAAAAGTTCTGATCTGGTTGTCAGTCATAATTCTAGTTATTATCTCAAAATGTTGAATGTCACAGAATTAGCCAAGTGTCTTTGTCAATTGTCATTCTGAGTATTTGGTCATTTGCAGACAACAGTTTTACTCTGATGTTTTTGCAAATATGTTTCATCTTCAGAGAGATTCATGGAAAGGACTCTGACACTTGTTCTAAAATACAGGTTTCTGATAAACTTTCAAATTATGAAACTGAGCTGGGTAAAAAATTACAGAACTGTAATGGAGAAACTGATGGCCTCATTAAATTGCTAACAGAAGATCAAGGGTTGATGTCATGGGACTGAATAAATTGATGAGAATGATTATAGTTTTTATGATTTCTTGTTTGAAACATTGCTGATTTTTTAATGTTTTCTTTTTACAGGTCTAAGGAAAACTTTTTCTCTTTTCTCTTATGGAACTATGACTTATAACAATTTGTAAACAGAATTGAGGCGTTTATATTTTTCTCCCTATCTGATCCCTCCAGAATTTGAAAACTTTTGATGAGTGAGTATTCTTATATTCGTGGCAATATAGTTACTTGCATAAGTTAAATAAGAATCTGTTCTCCTTATATCAAGACACAATTGGAAACACTGGTTATATTACCAAGGCTTTGACTGGAATGTCATATTTGAAAAAAAAAAAACCATGCAGACTCAGATATGACAGGACAGCTTTTGAGAAACAAAGATTGGACTTTATGAAATAAAGCCACTTGGAAATATTGGCCTGGTACCTTGCTTACAGGGTTCCCAGCAACCTTACCAGGTGAGTAAAGGAGGTCACTTCCCTGGCAGGTGGAAGAACCCCAGGATATTTTGGGAACCTCAAGAGAAGAGAGGAATTCATTCAAATCTGTAGGTATTGCAGGTGGAGTCTAATAACAAGTCCTTGGCTTGGCCTGGCCTCAAGACACCTAAAAAGTTCAATCTGAGATTCCTTATAAAAAGTTCCAGCAAAGCAGATTTAAAAGAGCCTATATGATCAACTGCTATTCTTGCTGTACTTACGTAAATAATTGTGCAAAGTTTATGTACTTATGTAAATAATTGTGCAAGTCTTAATTTGGCTATCTTTGGTAAAAATGAGGGTGATTTTAGGGAGAAAAATTATGTTTCAGTAGAGACTATAATACACATATGTGGATGTTGGATTCTAGTTCTATTAATTTTCTTCAAGGTTTTTTTTTTCTATCTGTAAACTGGACTGAATCCTGAATACTTCTAGTTTCCTCAAATAGCTGGTACAACTCTCAAAGCTAAAATTTTCAATTTTTTCCATCATTTTCATTTGGAATCATTGAAAACTAAAACCACCCATTTTCCTGAAGCCCTGCAAACTGAAGCTGGACAACTTGATATAAACCTAAGAGAGAGCACCATGATAGCCCATGTTTGGATAATCTTCATGCCTGTTGCTGTGTAAGATGCTCAAAAGGTTTATCTGAATGCCTGACGTCATCCTTGGAGACATTTCAAACTGCAGGGGCTGCTTCAACCCTAACATCTAGAGATCTTCTTGACTGACTGTCCCCAGGGCTCAGAAATTGGTTTATAATTTGCTCCAACAATTAATCTTGCTTTTCTTTTTGTTTCTCTAGAAATACTTCTTGTTAAATACCTGATTACTTGCTTCTACAATATAGGCCTAACTTTGGGAGATCCTTCCTATGTTCTAGAGATGATCCAAAAGACTTGTAGGGAACTTCAACTAAGGAACTAGGCACTGTCAGATGTTTCTTTGCATCATATTCGTCATGGAGACTAGGTCATATTAAAATCCTGGAAGCACAAGATGGGACCATACAAGAAACACCACAGGGAACGGGAACCATACCATAAAAATACATCACAACTGGGATTACCCAAACCTTTGCTGGCTTCATACTCTAGACACTGACTTCTCCAAATAGCCAAGTGAATCCCTGACAGACTGCAAGTTGCTGTTCAGGAGATGGTCTTCTAAAGATAGTAATAAATGCCTCTCAGGTTCTTATCTTGTTGGTTGGACTATTAGACAGCAGGCTACTTGGCTACAGCAGATTTCACTTAGGATTCTAGGCACTAATCTTTATTGGTTTACAGGCCTCTTCTCCTGGATTCCCCAAGGATTGAGGTCCATTATGGAGGGGATA